AGAGAAGGGCCATAAATTTCCCTTGAAATGAGATGAACATCATAAGCTCTTTGGGTAAAAAAGTGGTATAGAAAGCAAATAAATGTGTCATTTGACTTGTGTTTAAAATTTGTTTTCCTTGGCTTTTAAGTTTTTTATAGTGTGAAACAAGTCATCTTATAGGGCTTAAATTTTAATTTTCCTTCCAAATCTCTTCTAACACATTTGTAAGCATAAACTCTTTATATCTGGATAAATAGCATTAATTATCATCAAAGTTTCCAAATGTAACATCTTCAAGTAATTTAATTGCTGAATTACTGCCATGTTTTGATTAGCCATGGACCAGTGGGCCCTTCCAATTTGTTTCAGTTCTAGGGCAACTGTGGATACTTTATTATTTGGGAATGCAAAATGAATGTCCATAATGTCTAGGAGAACAAGAACTAAATTGAGTCACCTCTAGTCTAGCCCTAAATTACCCCATGAAGTACCTGACATTAGAGAAATATTTTCCATTCTTCAAGTCCTCCATATGCACAATAGGTAACTCACTGCAAACATATTTACTTTTCCCCAATCTTAGCATCCGTATTTTCCAATAACTTTATATTATACATGTATCTCTGGACCACCTTCAAGCCTTTCGATAACCCACTGACCCCCACCAAAAACCCACTATTTAAAACCTTAATAAAAATTATTAGCCCCCAAAATTCTTTCTAACTAACTCCAGTTCTAACCCTCTACCTTCCCTTTATATTTATTTACCACAGCACTAAACTAATTAGCATCTTAACCACTCCCACTCGTCCCACGCCCTTCACATCCAGTCCTTTCGTCCTTGTTCCCATCATTTAGTCTCAGGCAGAACACATTCTATACAAGCCTTGGTTTATATTTATACTAACAAGCTGTGAAACAGCAATAAAACATAACAATTACTTGCAGATAAGAATGCTTGTGTATGTGTGCGTGCTGTCGTGTTAGTACTACAATAAATTCGGGAAAATAGGGAAATGGAGAATTACGTAATGTAGTATGCAATAGCAAAAATGTCACCATCACAAAAATGTTTCAAGACAAACCAATAACAACAACTTCTGAATTACTTCGAGGCCTTAATAAAACCATGGATGGGGAAACCTCCCAGTATGACCACCAACCTTAGAAAAGTTAACTTGCACTATTTTTACCCACAATGACTTCCCACCAAGTGTCCCTCCCAAGCAGACGGATGCATAAGACCATGTCTCCCTTCAGAAACCTAATCAACACCACTGAGAGCGAAGAGGGATTCCCCATCCAGGCTGGAATGGGACTGATAGACCAGCAGGTGACTTCACCCCCAGGTAAGGACGGGGGTGACCGGCCAGCAGGTGACTTCACCCCCCAGGTAAGGACGGGGGTGACCCGCCAGCAGGTGAATTCATCCCCCAGGTAAGGACGGGGGTGACCCGCCAGCAGGTGAATTCATCCCCCCAGGTAAGGACGGGGGTGACCCGCCAGGAGGTGAATTCATCCCCCAGGTAAGGACGGGGGTGACGGGCCAGCAGGTGAATTCATCCCCCCAGGTAAGGACGGGGGTGACGGGCCAGCAGGTGAATTCATCCCCTAGGTAAGGACGGGGGTGACGGGCCAGCAGGTGAATTTATCCCCCCAGGTAAGGACGGGGGGTGACCCGCCAGCAGGTGAATTTATCCCCCAGGTAAGGACGGGGCTGACCCGCCAGCAGGTGAATTTATCCCCCAGGTAAGGACGGGGGTGACCTGCCAGCAGGTGACTTCACCCCCCAGGTAAGGACGGGGGTGACCCGCCAGCAGGTGAATTTATCTCCCAGGTAAGGACGGGGGTGACCCGCCAGCAGGTGAATTTATCCCCCAGGTAAGGACGGGGGTGACCCGCCAGCAGGTGAACGAATCCCCCAGGTAAGGACGGGGGTGACCCGCCAGCAGGTGAATTCACCCCCCAGGTAAGGACAGGGGTGACCCGCCAGCAGGTGAATTTATCCCCCCAGGTAAGGACGGGGGGTGACCCGCCAGCAGGTGAATTCACCCCCCAGGTAAGGACGGGGGTGACCCGCCAGCAGGTGAATTCACCCCCCAGGTAAGGACGGGGGTGACCCGCCAGCAGGTGAATTCACCCCCCAGGTAAGGACGGGGGTGACCCGCCAGCAGGTGAATTCACCCCCCAGGTAAGGACGGGGGGTGACCCGCCAGCAGGTGAATTTATCCCCCCAGGTAAGGACGGGGGGTGACCCGCCAGCAGGTGAATTCACCCCCCAGGTAAGGACGGGGGTGACCCGCCAGCAGGTGAATTCACCCCCCAGGTAAGGACGGGGGTGACCCGCCAGCAGGTGAATTTATCCCCCAGGTAAGGACGGGGGGTGACCCGCCAGCAGGTGAATTTATCCCCCAGGTAAGGACGGGGGGTGACCCGCCAGCAGGTGAATTTATCCCCCAGGTAAGGACGGGGGTGACCCGCCAGCAGGTGAATTTATCCCCCAGGTAAGGACGGGGGGTGACCCGCCAGCAGGGGAATTTATCCCCCCAGGTAAGGACGGGGGGTGACCCGCCAGCAGGTGAATTCATCCCTCAGGTAAGGACGGGGGTGACCCGCCAGCAGGTGAATTCATCCCTCAGGTAAGGACGGGGGTGACCCGCCAGCAGGTGAATTCATCCCTCAGGTAAGGACGGGGGTGACCCGCCAGCAGGTGAATTCACCCCCCAGGTAAGGACGGGGGTGACGGGCCAGCAGGTGAATTCATCCCCCAGGTAAGGACGGGGGTGACGCGCCAGCAGGTAAATTTATCCCCCCAGGTAAGGTCGGGGGGTGATGGGCCAGCAGGTAAATTTATCCCCCAGGTAAGGACGGGGGTGACCAGCCAGCAGGTAAATTTATCCCCCCAGGTAAGGTCGGGGGGTGACCCGCCAGCAGGTGAATTTATCCCCCCAGGTAAGGACAGGGGGTGACCGGCCAGCAGGTAAATTTATCCCCCCAGGTAAGGTCGGGGGGTGACCGGCCAGCAGGTAAATTTATCCCCCCAGGTAAGGTCGGGGGTGACCGGCCAGCAGGTAAATTTATTCCCCCAGGTAAGGACAGGGGGTGACCGGCCAGCAGGTAAATTTATCCCCCCAGGTAAGGTCGGGGGTGACCGGCCAGCAGGTAAATTTATCCCCCCAGGTAAGGTCGGGGGGTGACCGGCCAGCAGGTGAATTCATCCCCCCAGGTAAGGTCGGGGGGTGCCCGGCCAGCAGGTGAACTAATCCCTCAGGTAAGGTCGGGGGGTGACCCGCCAGCAGGTGAACTAATCCCTCAGGTAAGGTCGGGGGGTGACCCGCCAGCAGGTGAATTCACCCCCCAGGTAAGGTCGGGGGGTGACCGGCCAGCAGGTGAATTCATCCCCCCAGGTAAGGTCGGGGGGTGACCGGCCAGCAGGTGAACTAATCCCTCAGGTAAGGTCGGGGGGTGACCCGCCAGCAGGTGAACTAATCCCTCAGGTAAGGTCGGGGGGTGACCGGCCAGCAGGTGAATTCATCCCCCCAGGTAAGGTCGGGGGGTGACCGGCCAGCAGGTGAACTAATCCCTCAGGTAAGGACGGGGGGTGACCGGCCAGCAGGTGAATTCATCCCTCAGGTAAGGTCGGGGGGTGACCCGCCAGCAGGTGAACTAATCCCTCAGGTAAGGTCGGGGGGTGACCCGCCAGCAGGTGAATTCACCCCCCAGGTAAGGTCGGGGGGTGACCGGCCAGCAGGTGACTTCACCCCCAGGTAAGGTCGGGGGTGACCCGCCAGCAGGTGAATTCATCCCCCCAGGTAAGGTCGGGGGGTGACCGGCCAGCAGGTGAACTAATCCCTCAGGTAAGGTCGGGGGGTGACCCGCCAGCAGGTGAACTAATCCCTCAGGTAAGGTCGGGGGGTGACCGGCCAGCAGGTGAATTCATCCCCCCAGGTAAGGTCGGGGGGTGACCCGCCAGCAGGTGAATTCGTCCCCCCAGGTAAGGACGGGGGTGACCCGCCAGCAGGTGACTTCACCCCCAGGTAAGGACGGGGGTGACCCGCCAGCAGGTGAATTTATCCCCCAGGTAAGGTCGGGGGTGACCCGCCAGCAGGTGACTTCACCCCCAGGTAAGGACGGGGGTGACCCGCCAGCAGGTGAATTTATCCCCCAGGTAAGGTCGGGGGTGACCCGCCAGCAGGTGAATTCACCTCCAGGTAAGGACGGGGGTGACCCGCCAGCAGGTGAATTTATCCCCCAGGTAAGGTCGGGGGTGACCCGCCAGCAGGTGAATTCACCCCCAGGTAAGGACGGGGGTGACCCGCCAGCAGGTGAATTTATCCCCCAGGTAAGGTCGGGGGTGACCCGCCAGCAGGTGAATTCACCTCCAGGTAAGGTCGGGGGTGACCCGCCAGCAGGTGAATTCACCTCCAGGTAAGGACGGGGGTGACCCGCCAGCAGGTGACTTCACCCCCAGGTAAGGTCGGGGGTGACCCGCCAGCAGGTGAACTAATCCCTCAGGTAAGGTCGGGGGTGACCGGCCAGCAGGTGAATTCATCCCCCCAGGTAAGGTCGGGGGGTGACCGGCCAGCAGGTGAATTCATCCCCCCAGGTAAGGTCGGGGGGTGACCGGCCAGCAGGTGAACTAATCCCTCAGGTAAGGTCGGGGGTGACCGGCCAGCAGGTGAATTTATCCCCCAGGTAAGGTCGGGGGGTGACCCGCCAGCAGGTGAATTCGTCCCCCCAGGTAAGGACGGGGTGACAAGCCTGCAAGTGAGAAGCGGGGTGCGGGGAGCCGGGGAGGCTCCGCCCTTCTCGGGGCTCGGCACCGCCCGGGCAGGCCGCCCCACGGCCACAGGACAGACGCCCCCAGGAAACCCCCCGCCCCGCGGGGCCCGCGGCCTCCCCCGCAGCGCCGCCCGACCGGGACGCCCGGGACGCCGGCCCCGACGCCTTCTCCGGGCCCAGCTGCAGAGCCCCCGCAGAAGTGGAGGACACGCCCGAGAGCCTGACAGCCCCATTACCTGGTCGGACCCCGGAGGACGGAAACCGCAGCCCCCGCCGCTGCCCTCCTGGCCCACAGCGCTCGCCGCAGCGCCTCTGACATTGAGACCGCCGCCATCTTGCCGCTCGCGACCGCCGGACGGAGCGCCGCGAGGGACACACTTCCTCCGTCCTGTGGCCCGCGGAGCCGCGGGGGGGCGGGGCTTCCGTGCCCTGGGTGCTCCTTGGGTCTTCTGCTAGATGCTGGAGCTGAGAAAGAGAAGCGAGGTTTGATTGAAGAAAAATGCGGAACTGCTTTAAGTGGAAATGGTACCTCCGTTCAAGCATAGTTGTGTGTTGTTATGACTGCTTATTTAATGAAAAGACCAAAAGAAAATACTTGAACATTTAAACACCTGCAACTCATAATTTTTTCAAAGGACTCGGAAGATTTAGGGCTGAGCCCACTGCAAGAGCCAGAGGCCCTTTTGGCTCTTGAGAACCTAAAGTAGTACTTCTGCAAAGTGTTGCCAGATTGAGCTCGCAAGCCCCAGGACCGGCTGTGTTCTGCGTGGTGTGCAGTAATTCCGACCATCACGGTTTCCCCAGCGAGGACTGCACGTGTGGCCAGGCACAGGGTTCTTCCTAGTAGTAGTAGTACTATTTTTAGGTGTGGGTTTATATGAAAAATTCATGGAACATAATATTTGATGTCACTGTATTCCCAGTAATTTCTGAATGTATGATCTTTTTTTCTTCTTTCTTTTAATCCTCACCCGAGGATATGTTTCCATTTATCTTCATATAGAGTGGGAGAGGGAGAAAGAGAGACAGACACATGGATTGGTTGCCTCTTGCACGACCCCAACAGGGGCCAGACATGAACCGCAACTGAGGTACCTGCCCTTGACCAGAATTGGACCCAAGACTCTCTGGTTTGCGGGCCCAGCTCTAACCACTAAGGCAATCCGGCCAGGGCTGAATCTGTAATCTTAATCTACAGACACAAAGAATATTATTAACGCTGTGCCATAAAAAGTTATTTTCTGAGACACGTGTTGTAAACATGTTTGTAGTGTGGGCCACTGACCTTAAGGACAATGATTATATAAAATACAGAGCACGTTCCTTTGTGGTTTGAGAGATCTTTGATAAAACACAATGCTGCTACTTTTAGAATTAAGCACGTAGAAACATAACCTTTATTAAAAGAATAGGATTAACAGGAGGATGGGGAATGACTTGCTTCTGCATTGTGGTCAATTGAAAGAAAACTTAATATGTAAGAAAAATGAGGAAAGAGAGATTCAGCAACATAGCACCTAGCACCAAAGAGAGAAAACTATGTCCTGGGGAAGATAAAATGCACAGAAAGTTAAAGGATGATGAGGGAAAGATGTTTCAGGGAATTTCCTTTAAAACTTTTAATTTTGAAATAAATTATGGATTTCATAGGAAATTGCAAAAACAGTACAGAGAGATTTGTGTACCCTTTACCCAGTTTCTCTCACTGATTACATCATAAATAATTCTCATCGGGTAGAATAGGATGTCACAGTTGGGCACCCGACATACAGATCAAGTCCACCACTCTATTTCTGTTTGTATCATTTTGACATTTCAAGCATGTTATGTAAATGGGCTCATGCAGTAGATGGCCTTTTGAGATTGGCTTTTGTCATTCAGCATAAGCCCTCGAGGTTCCAGCCAAGTTATTGGATGTATCAATAGTTCATTCTTTTTTATTGCTGAGTAGCATTCCATGGTGTGTTAATCAGGATTTTCCAGAGAAACGAAACCAACAGGATGAAGACAAAGTCCCTAAACCTGATTTGACAGGCTTGATATGGTCTGTCTCCCACCTTCCTCTCTAGCCACGGACTGTCTTTCTGCCCTGCCTTAGAGCCCTTCACAAGCTGTTGCCTGCTGGAATGACCTTCAGTGTCCCTTATCTAGTCAGCGTCCTTGCTTGAGGTTCCAGCTGAGAGTCTCCCTGTGGCACAATCTCTAGGTGTCTTACAGGCATCTCCCACCCACCCCTTCTTGCTGACTCCTGCTAGAGACAGAAATGCCCTGTACTTGCTTTCCATCAGCTCTTGCACCTAGCACATGGCCAGGGGGATCTGAAATCCCTTCCGGAAAAAAAGCTGAAAAAAAGGGGACACACAGAGAGTCATGCCGCTTTTCCTGCCTTTGGATGCAGTGGTATGAGCCCATAATGCTTCGAGCTGTGGTATCTTCTCGCACGAGGGGACAAGGAAGAGCCTACCCCACCAAGAAAGACCGGGACAGCAGAGAGGGAAAGAGCCCAGGTCTTTAATGGTGTCGTTGAGCTTCCGAATCCACCCTGACCAAAGTACTTCCAGACTCCTTGTTCTAGGAAGTGAGTGGCTCAGTTGTCTAACCCTCTATTTGTCAGCTGTTCTGCAGCAAAAGCATCCTCACCGCTGCTCTTGCACAAGGAATGCTTTTCTGGCTTCCCTGACCACCATGTAGACCCACCTGCATGGAATCTTTCTCTTTCAAGAGCACCTCCCATGCGGCAGGGCCAATGCACTGGCGTCGCCTCTTTCTCCAAAATGGAACGTGCGTTCTCTGAAGAGATCATGTATGTGTTTGCTGATTATTTTCCCAGTACCTAGCCTAGTCCCTGACACAGGCTCCAGAGAAGGTGTAGAATGAACGAATTAATGAATGTAATCGAAAGTTTTAAAATGTCAAACATAAGTTGGGGAAAGTGCCTCTTCTTTTTGTTATTTTTGCTTAGAAAAAGCTCGTACAAATTTTCTATTATTTTAAAGTTATAGCTGACATTCAATATTATATTAGTTTCAGGTGTACAGCATAGTGGTTAGACATTTATATAACTTACAAAGTGATCCCCATGACACCATTCATAGTTACTACAATATTATTCCCTATATTCCTTATGCTGTTCTTTACATCCTCATGACTATTTTGTAAGTACCGATTTGTTGCACAAATTACTTTTAAAGTGATTATTCTCTCAGGTCTCCAGATCTTATTGGTTTCTAATATTTCATCTTTGACCAAGTGCCATTTTCTGAAGACCTTAGTGGAATGTTGGGGATAGGGGCCCAGCGTTGCTGGCGAGAGACCTGAAACCATGAATCTACCTTTTATTAGGCTTGCATTTTAGAAAAAAAATTTAATAACCCCTTTCATTTCCTTATTCCTCACATTTCAAATACAGGATATAGGCCTTTACGGAACAGGAATAATTTGCTATGTGCATTTACTGTTTTTACAATTTCACCCAATTTATAGATTCTACCACTAGGATTAGTAGATGTCTAGGCCCAAATACCATTTTAATATTTCAAATAGGAGTATTAAAATGTGAACTGACTGTACTTTTTGTTTGTATTTCAAGCATGGTGGCCAAAAGAAACATTTAGTTTAGTCTTTCTGATGGCATGTGCAATTTACAGTGGATCTGAAGTTGTCTGGTTTTAATTTTTTCCCCTTGCACATGGGTCTTCAATAAAGCATCCAGAAGAGAATAAATTAAAACCAGACATTTCTATCAGAAGTTTCACATGCAATCGCTAAGGGCATGAAAAAATTTCACCATCACTTATTGGCCACAAACTAATATTTTAAATCGCATCTTATTTTTCACTGCTAATTTAATTGGAAGCCTTGAATTAATAATACATTATCATCTTATAAAATTATTATTTTATTTGGCAGGGCTGCTGAGTCTTTGGCAAAAAATGAAATAATTTCTACCTATAGTGAAGAACTGCCACTTGGACTTATTCTTGGAAAATAAAGGGTACAAACAATCAGAACGAAGAACTCAAGGAATTTTCCCACACAGATGTGTTCACATGCTCCATCGCAGTCTGGTATGCCAATCCTAAATTCTCAAGCTTAACATGTAGAAAACCAAGCTAATATTCCTTCTCTTTCTCTTACTCGAAGAAAATCTACTCCTCCCACCCAGTATTCTCTGTCCCGGCAAAACACTACCACCTTTCTTCCAATATAAGATGCCGTCACCTGGCTGGTGTGGCTCAGTGGTTGAGCTTTGACCCTGCACCAAGAAGTCGCTGGTTTGATTCCCGGTCAGGGCACATGCCCAGATTGTGGACCAAATCCCCAACGAGGGGCATGCAGGAGGCGGCCAATCGATATTCTCTCTCATTGATGTTTCTATCTCTCTCTCCCTCTCACTTCCTCTCTCTCTAAAAAGGTCAGTAAAGGAAAAAAGAAATTTAAGATGCTATCAACTGTAAAATGCATCATTATTTTCTGTACTAATAAATACCAAAACCAAAAACACACACAAAGAAAATCCTACAACAAACCATTATACACAACAAACTATATATTATGTATCCTGATTTCAGAGAGGTAAAATGTGGGGAAATGCACATGTTTAGAAGCAAAGAAAATAGTAACTGCCTAACCCAATGTCGTTTCCTTCCTTTGTCCTTATTTCTTATTTATTGGTCTCTGGAATAAAGACTTTATTTTTCAGCCTCTTTCTTGCTGGGAACAGCCATGGAACCAGTTCTGGCCAATGAAATGTAAGAAAAAATATCATGTGACAACTGGGAAGCCTCCTTTAAACATGTAAACATACACCCCCTTTCCCCTCTCCCCTTTATCGATTTCCTCTCTCATCCTGATCCCTAGAGGTAGAGGGGAAGACTCAGATCACGAACAGTTGTCCACCATGAGCAGATGATGAGGTGGAAGGAGTCTGGGTCTGCCAACCATCCTTGGATTCCACAGGAACTGTCAATCCTTTGATCCTTCCTCCCGATCCCTGTTCTGCACTCTCTTGACGAGGAGTCCCCCTTCTCATCCAGAGTAAACTCTATGGCCAATTCGTATCCTTTTCTTTGCTTACACTTACAGCTGCCTTGCCCCTCGCACCTTCTTGTACTCAGTGAAACTGCCACCTAAGTCAAACCCAACTCTTTTTCTTCCCTGCACCTGCCCCCATGCAGCTGCACCCAACTGGAAAAAGCACCAAAGAATCCTGGTTTGGTTCACTGGGCCATGAACCTCACATTGGTCCTTAATTCTCCTTGGCAAGCCTATTAAAGTTTCCTATGTTCTATATTCATGTATTCTTATGCCATTCATTTTCTCACTTCATTTGATGACTTGCACTTTC